TTCGTTTCCTTTGTCTTGGGGATGCCAGTTTAGAACAATTCTTAGGTCAGGGAGGTCACATTTTTCGTCAGATATTCGCACATTTTTGACGGGTTTTACAGTGTCTCCTTCCTATTGCAGAGGCTGCGACTGTGCGGTGCTGCACTACGGGCATGCGGGGGCGCCAAATGAGCGCCTCATTCGAGATGGTGATATGTGCCTCTTCGACATGGGCGGTGAGTACTACTGCTACTGTTCAGACATCACCTGCTCCTACCCCGTCAACGGCAAGTTCACTGCTGACCAGCGGCTAATCTATGAGGCCGTGCTATCCGCTGTCAAGTGAGTCTCAGCCGCCTCGCTCATCCAACCATTTCTATTTTCCTTCCATATCCTCGAACAGAAAGCATATCCTTCTCCTAAATTCCTGGTTGACTTCTAAGCCCGTTTCTATGTGGGTTCAGACGGCCTTTTCCCGTTTCTATTAACAACTTTAAATTTACAAAGCAATGTAAAATTTCATAGGACCATTTGTGCGAAAACCGTATCATGGCAATGTGTGTGGTTTAGACCTTGTGGTCGCGAATTCACTTAAGAGGGGCGACAGCAAAATCTGTACTATGAGGGGACCTAAATGAATCGGTACTCTGTGTCACCCCTCCCCCCAGCCTCTTGCTTCCACAGTCCCGATTATGAGGACGTTTCCCGAACTCACACGACAGATAACCTGGTTCGGTGATGTTCGGTTTTGGTGATGGGACATTTACTTCCAATTTTGGGGTTACTACGTCCCTGTATCTATGCTTTTGCCTCCACATCATTGCGTTTTTCTTACGTCACAAGGAAACAGTAATGTAATCCTGCGTCTTACGCTGATAGCCTCTAAATGCTCATGCACATGTTTCGCCCATGTTATGCTATCGTGGGATAAAATTGTGAGAGATTCGACTCCTCACTGGCTACCGATCGTTTATATGTTGTTTGCTGTTAACTCTTGTGCGTAAAGTAAGTTTTTTTTTAATTTTATGGGTAGTTGATGTGTGAACTTATAATGAAGCCGTTGGTGCAAGTCATTTCGTATTTTGCCGCTCAACTCCTATCAATCTGCGCGGGCTATATACGCCATTTTCTGACTCGCAACTGCCAGCATCATGTTAAAAATTACGGCTGGTTCATACAATTTTCATAAATTGTGATCTCCTTACTGCCCAAACAATAAGCCCTTTTATCTGGAAGTTACGATAATTCTTTCCTATTAGCTACTCTTTGTCGTCCGAAGCTTAGAAGATTGCAATATGTAAAGGTGGATTTAGCGATTCCAGGCTTTTAAACCTATAAGGTAAACTGACCCTTATTGAAGGCTATCAAAAGCAATCATATATATCATTCAATTCTGGCTAATAAGGGGCGAGGGTTACACTGCCCGTGTATGAATTATAAATCTGAAGATTAACAGCTGAAGGCATATATAAACTACCCATTTTCGACCATTCGTTACCGAAAAGTACAAGTTAGAAAAGAACATGGTTATTGTGGTAATGTTAAGGGATATTCGGTTAAGTTACGTGATTGTATTTGTACACTTCGTCAGCATCCTTAACGTAAACTTACGTACGTGCCTACGTACACGTAAAATTATATTGGGTGCGTGGGGAAGAAAATTTTTCCTACCCCGGAACCAGTTGGTGATCGGCTTTTCTGTCTTATCGCTCTTTTTTAGAGCTGTCCTTGCGTGCCTTCGTCCGGGTGTTCAATGGCCGGCTATGCATTGTCTGGCCGAACGAAAGATCCTCGAGGCCTTGGTCGCTGGCGGTCTCCTCCGCGGTGACGTTTCGGCGATGTTGGAGGCGCACCTGGGCGCCATTTTCATGCCGCACGGTCTGGGTCACCTGATGGGCTGCGATGTTCATGACGTAGCCGGATACACCAAGGTAACCCGATCTATCAATCTTTTTAAGCTTGCTCACTTGTGCCTGAGCACCAACCAGTCATAAAATGAGTCGTTAAAGAGGATTGAAAATGAGGTGTTTCGCGCTAATTGACAGGTAGGCCGTTACAGACGACCACTGGCCCAAAAATGGGCGCAGCCATGACTAAGGCATGG